GTGGCTCAGGCCTGTAATCCCAGCACTTTGGGAGGCTGAGGTGGGTGGATCACGAGGTCAAGAGATCGAGACCATCCTGGCCAACATGGTGAAATCCCGTCTCTACTAAAGATACAAAAACTAGCTGGGCACAGTGGCGTGCGCCTGTAGTCCCAGCTACTTGGGAGGCTGAGGCAGGAGAATTGCCTGAACCCGGGAGGCGGAGGTTGCAGTGAGCCCAGACTGTCCCACTGCACTCCAGCCTAGCGCCTGGCAACAGAGTGAGACTCTGTCTCAAAAAAAAAAAAAGAATTTTGAAAGTCAGGCCCTTTCAACTTTTCCCTATTTCCAGGTATACTTGAAACACACTAAGAGACTATGCAGTAGTAGAGTATCTGCCAAAAGTTGAATTACTGTCTTTTGTTCAATATTACAAAAATCACTTCAATTTCCAGAAGAAGATATGAGAGAGACCGTTACTATCCACATGGGCCTTCCCATTTCTCAGCCTGCTTTGCATTTAAAGCAGGAACATGGGCAGAAATGATGTACACCGTTCCTGGTCCTGGCTGTAAGAGTCACATGCAACCTCCTTCCCAATGGGTCTGACCCTGAAAACCACATTGGTGATGGCAGAGTCACCGAGGAAAGCAACTGATTCTCTCTGATTCACTGTTTGCCAGGGAGCTGTTCTGGAGAGTGTCTGAACTTACAAGTAGATTTTCTATGAGCAAAAATCACACTATTATATGCTTACCCACTGAGATGTAGGAGTTTGTTACTGCCATTTAATCTAATTCTGACTAATTCAGGTATTGAATCCACCACAGATAAGGAAGATCTAAAATGCCAAGACTATTAAAGGCAAAAACAAAAAGGTAGTTGATATTGACGTCAAAGAGAAAATAACAGTAATTGCTTAAAATCCTATATTTGAGGAAAAAATATTATTTGAGGTTAACTTACCAAGAAATTGCTGCAGTCTCAAGATGCAATACTTAGAAAAATAACTTGTTATCTTAAACCAACACAATAAAGCACCATTTTTCTTCTATTCTGTCAGACAAATAAATCGCCCCCTTACCTCTTCTTGAGCCGTCTTCACGTGGACACAATTGTGACTTATGGATTTTTGAGTTGGTGAAAATATCTAATCCTATGGACTGAAAAAAAATAATTGTTAAAGCATAGTGACAATCCAATCTTGAGACTAAATAATTGCTTGAATTTGTACTGTACTTTCACTATTATTTTATATATAGTTTATAGGCACATCATGAAAATTACACATAATGAGAACTATTTATAAAAAGTCATAGATGGTCAAGTTCATTCAAGCTAGTATGTGAATAGGATTTGGAATTCAAACCCATTTCTGATTCTTATTGCTAAATATTGTCTGGTATACTCTAATACTCCTTAATTACTTTTTTTGCCTCCATAAAACTGAGTATCTTAGACTTAGATGTTTCCTTCTCTTTTTTTCTCCATGAAACAGGTGTCCGTGTCTATGTATGCATACACAGAGCTCTCCTTATGGCTTTCTTACAAGAGAGCATTTTTTGCTTGTTTCTTGTTATTTTAAATTGAAGGGTTGCATATTGGAGGTCGCTCTTTACAGTCTTAGTAAACTCTGTTTTGTTTATGTTTTATCAATCAGAAGATAGGCTTTTCCAGAATGTCTACACTCCACTCATTCCTGTGGACCTTTCCTCTTTTTTCTCAGTTTCTTTTAATTGTCTCAGATGTCTGCGTCTAAAACCCCCATCCAGATGCCCCCAGTTGTCTAGAGTCCACCTGTTTCCATCTTCCCTCTTCTTCAGTATTAGTCACAGGTAAATATTATTTGCTATTTTATCTCAGAGTATTTGGGAAACTGTGGGACTCTTGAGCATAGTTGTCAGTGGGGGTTGTGATACACAACAGAAAGAAATAAACCAGAAATAAATGTTCAAAGATGAAACAGCTAGTTAATAAACTAAGAAGTGTTTTTTCCGTCCTTCTACCACCGCATTTACGTTTCTGGAAGGTCCAGAAGAGAGAGATTTAAATTGCCTTCAGCTAAGCTGTAGACCTTTATCAGATGAATGATTTATCTTCCTGAACGGATGATAAAAGTTCTTAGTGCTGTTTGATAGTGATACGATTTAATTTCACAACCTGGATAATTCTCCTCAGTTATAGTTAATACTAAAGAATTACATTTTTAAAACATTCTAACATTTCTAATACAAGTTCTGTTAATCTTTTTTTAATGAAAGACAACTTTAAGTTTTCCTGGAATTTTACTGTCCTTTGAGGACTAA